ATTAATAAATGACAATTTTCAGTCATATGGACTTATCTTACTTACTTTGGAGCAAAAACAGAGCTTCGTTGTGTTTGTGAACATTTGGCTTGAACAGCCGTTCTCTCTGCCCCCTTCCAAACGCTTCCAAATTCGGGATAAAAACACGAATCTTACATCAAAATTTGAATCTGAATGGCCAATATTACTTACCATTTCTTGGTGTATGCTTTCAAATAAATCACAATTTTACAATATTTTGAATATAAACGAACAAATTTTTCCAAGCTGTTGCGGACGTATCGGTAAACAAAGCAGGCAATCAAAAATAAATGAAATAAATAATAACATTTTATTCAACAAAATATAAAAATGCAAAAATCAATTAAAACTGTATTATTTTTAANCTGAAAGAATTACACTGGCTGCCTGTGAAGCAGAGGATTGATTTTAAAGTACTCTGTATTATTTTTAAGGCGATCCATTCACAAGGACCATTATATTTATCTGATCTTATCTGTTTTAACTTACCACGGCGGTCCACACGTTTTAATACTGAGAATGATTTTATTTTAGAACATTCTGTTTTAGAGAAGGGGTGCCTAAAAAGTTATGGAGATCGTGCTTTTATAATCTACGCCCCAAGAGTGTGGAATGGTCTACCAAATTTTATTAGGAAAACAGAAGACTTTGACAATTTTAAATCTCTTTTAAAGACCCACTTTTTTAATTCTGTCTATATCTCTTAGATTTTATTTTAATATATATATGTTTTTTTTTTTTTTTTAATAAGATTGATTTTTAGTAGTGTAAATTTTAAATGGTTTCCAATGAGAGTTTATGATTAAAATATTGTAGTCATTTTAATGATTTTAGTATATTAGCCATTATTGTAAGGCGCCTTGAGATAGAATGTAAGGCGCCATATAAGAATCTTATTATTATTATTATTATTATTATTAAAACCATTAACTGAAGGGCGGCGTTGCTGAGGATCGCCGACTTATGCCCACTGATGTCTCAGAGTAATGACTGCTGTTGTCGAGGGCCGCTGAGAGATGAACACTGCTGTCTAGGGTCGCTGAGAGATGACCGCTTCTGTTGAGGGCCTCTGAGAGATGCCCGCTTCTGTCGAAGTTTGCAGAGAGATGACCGCCCTTTCATATCAGAGACCCCTAAAATACTACACAAAATCACACTTTTCAACATTTTTGTAACAGACTACTGACTCATGTTTGGTTAGATTAGAGATCAGAGAGTAAGAGATGACTGCTGCTGTCAAGGGCCACCGAGAGGTGACCCCTGCTGTTGAGCATCGCTGACAGACGACCGCTGCTGCTGTTGCCGGAGAGTCCAAGTAGAACATCATATATTCCCCAGCTTATACTACCTGGGGCAAAAGAAATCTAAACTTGATCTACATTGTGATTATTTCTTTTGTGGAAAATGGGGGGGTGGCTGTCGCTGACATATCCCTTCGCAGAAGCACGACTAACAGGAAGCACAAGTGTCTGTAAAAATAGAAACTTAACGTTGACTAGGAGACACAACTTGGCTGCTGGATGAATCAGATTCTTATAGATTGTTTGCACGTCTGCCACACGGACCTTGCTACAGTGTATGTTTTCCAAGGGTGAATTGGTGATTCCCAGAAGTCTAGAGATGAGCATTGTGGAACTCAAATCCCAGCAATCTTTGAAGTAAGGGTATGGCTATATCCACAGATGGTTGACTGGCAAAAAAATCATCCATGTAGAAGTTCCGTATTATGGTTTCAACAGCTCAGGCAGAAAATCTGTCAGTGATGTCAGTTGCTGTGCGTCGTAAAGCATAGTTGGCACAAGTGGGAGACGAACACACGTCTGAACTCGACAAAACTAGCTGCACAGAAGTCGAATTTGCATTCAAAAATTTCTGCTGTGAATAATTTCTCAAGTTGCATCTGCATCTTCCCCTCTTTCAAAGGACTTCACACACGCATGGAGGACATGTAGACGATGCTGTTCCGCAGTTGGATCGAAGAATCTCCAAAGAATTAAGTCACCAAACAAGACCAGTTTTGACAGCTATGAGAGTTCCCTGGGGTCTGTATCTGATTTCTGTCTGGAACATGATGTCAGGTACATCACCACCGATCAACAAGCCAATGTCAAATGGGTTGCCAGGCTAAAAGTTTCAGATCTTAGAAGTTTGGCAAATAATTGAACTTAGCGAAGCGTTTTGGAGGTATATTCAGCTTGTCTACAGCTCAAGCTTGCTGGACTGGGAAAAAGTCTTCATAAGCAGAGGATACTGTAAAACTGACTTGTTAGGCTTGCTGGCATTCTGCTTTAAAACTACGGTCCCCATCTGTAGAATCTCCATAGTAGGCTGAAATGCATCCCCAAGAGAAAGTTCTGTTAAGAGGACGTAACCTGTTAATTTTTTCTTTACTGTGAAGGGTGTTTCGGTGTCTCGAAAGAGCGGCGATTCTTTTTTCCCCTCTAGTGATGTTGAAAGTGTTGCTACACTGACACTGGTGTTCACTAGGAGAGAAAAAGGGAAGTTTGGCGTAGACAAACGATGTTTTATGGCGACTCATTGATTTCATGGGCTGTTGTACAAAGTTCATTAGTCTGGGAAACAGCATCAGGAAACGGCACCTGGTATTCACTGCTTTCAGATCCTTGAAAATTCTCTGTCCAATCAGGGAGACCCTACAGCATTAAAGCTGAGGCTTCTTCACTTTTGTCGAAATTTGCAGCGCTGAATCCTGGGTTCTTTATTTAGGTACGCGCTGTCGCATTTGTACAGTAAACGCTTAACTTTGCTATAAGTTCTTTGTTGAAAGCATAGCATTCACGATTAGTGTAAAGTGTAAAGTTATTATATGGCATTAGCTGATGTTTACTAAATTAAATTACGTAATGTTATAGCATAAATAATGAATATCCAAACAAATCGTGTACATATTTTCATTTGTAGGGTTGCAAAGAGGCCATAAACTATTGAAGAAAACAATCTGTTAACTGTGTGTCGAATGTCCATAGTATCTAAACGTACGAACAGCGGCCTCAAAAACCATTGCGTGCGTATTGATAAATCATTATTCACTCAAGTTCAGCTTCCTTTCAATCATTCTTCTTTTCAATTCTCCAAGGACTCCATAAATGATGTACGGATAATATGTCGATTTAATGAATGGCAAATGTCGGGATATCATGATTCCATTTCTATCATCGAACCGCCCAGAATATCTGACACAAACGCAGCACTTTTATCAAACGCGATTACGCAAGAAATTGAAAGGATCACGGTTTTCCGTTTTAGTTTGGTTGTAAATCAATAAATGACTCACTAAATGAGATTAATCTTCTTGTATTTCATGCATATATTTCATGAATTAAATCCAAGCGTTGTATATAAGAAAGTTTTCGATAAGTACCACAACAGAATATGTTTATTCAATAAGTGACATGCATGAACATCTACATTCCAAAAAGTTTAGCAATCCTGAACTATGCTAAAGTGTGTTTCTCACCAGACTGCAGGCCCAATGAGGTCCATAACAGTGCATCAAATTTTGTACAGGTGACTGTACTGCAACAGATAGTGTGCTTAAATGTTAAAGCTCTTAATAATAATAATAATAATAATAATAATAATAATAATAATAATTTATTTTTCTATGGCGCATTCCATTAAAAATCTCAATGCGCCTTACAACATTCACTTAAAAGAGCTAAATAACACAATACTAATATAAGAACACATTACAATTTTAAAGGACTAAGAACTAATTTAAAGAACCAATTATTCATATTCTAAAATGATAAGAACCTAAAGTGACAACATTTAAAATTAATCATAAAATTACAGTACACCTTATTAAAAACTAAAATTAACTATATGATAGTTACTGATAGGCTATTCTAAAAATATGAGTTTTCAAAAGCTTTTTAAAAGTATCTATGTCACCTGCTGCTCGTATCTCTTAACTACTGAAACCCGATGCCAAATGATATCATTATGAGTGTGTATCTGTGGGGATAAGGGTCACTCCTACAAGTGTGTTTCTCACCAGACTGCAGGCCCAATGAGGTCCATAACAGTGCATCAAATTTTGTACAGGTGACTGTACTGCAACAGATAGTGTGCTTAAATGTTAAAGCTTTTTAACTACTGAAACCCGATGCCAAATGATATTATTATGAGTGTGTATCTGTGGGGATAAGGGTCACTCCTACAGAAAGAAGCCTTTAAACAAATACATGTATATATAAAGTAAAAGTGTTCTTCCTGTACGAGTATATAATAAAAAGAAAAAAAAGAACTGCAGCTACAGAAGAAAGAATGAAGCCGGTCGGGGCAAAATAGCTGCTGTTCTTTTTTTTCTATATATATACTCGTACAGGAAAATAACTTTTACTTTATATATATATTATATATATATATATATATATATATATATATATATATATATATATATAATCAAAGTCTGTTATCCGTCAACATCACAGGCAAATGAAATAATTACGTGGAGTAGCGACAATTGTTCCCTATTTATCTCTCTCATCTGGTTATAAGTATTTTGAAAAAAAAAATGTCCACATTTACCGCGGGAAGCATAATTCATTGGCTCAACCCCACAAACAAAAGAAAATTAAATAATGGCGTGTCAAAAATTGTTTTTCGTCGTCGCTTGCATCTAGGTACATGTGTACATCGTTCGATAAAAGCTACATGTATATATCCCCATCGGTTGCGTGATGCATGATACAATGGCCCAATCCCATTTAGTCATTACTGTGCTGGCGTTTCTCTATTGTGGGATAAATGTATCACCTTGTTTATTAACAGTCAGGCACTGTTACATAATGGATGATTGAAAAATTTAAGTTTGTGTCAAAGGGCGCTCACTAGATTACTGTCAGATAATCCGGCTTAAATGTACCGCCTACTTCAAACTGTAAGGGGGTAATTAACTATCGTGCCCGCTCGGCTGACAGCTATTTCTAGTTGGATCGATCTAATCTCTGGGAATGGGGTCAAAATCATTACTCTTTTGTAAGTATACTTATTAGTCCGTACAAATAAAATTTTAAAGATGACTCAGAGAGAATATTTACAATGCCACACTGTGCTAAGCTATAAACGCAAAGTTTAAACCCAACAAATGGCGCATCTCTCAAGAGAAAGTAAATACACTTCACAATAAGCTGTTTGAAACTGTTACTACAGGTACTGCAACATAGGTGGCGCTCCGTGCATTTTTAGCTGATGTGAGCGTATTCATGTTCATAAATGTAGATGAAATATGACCTGGAGATTTCTTTCTGAAATAATTTCGATACTGATGCAATGTTGACTTTTTCATAATGTAAGAAAAGAAAATAAAAGCACCTTGTAGACAAGAAAATACGTAAAAGAGATACCACATAAATGAAAGACTTGTAAATGCAGCGAAGAACGCGAAGATCCACCCAAAACCCATTAACGTTGATAGTTTACAGTAAACAAGAAATTGGTTGTAATCTGAACCACAACGTTCAACACTAGGAACAGGTCGTAAGGCAATAGCAGTCTTAATGAAGAATCCAAGTTGTAAGAGAATAGTTACTCCAACGGGCAGAGCGAAACTGTAGGCAAGTGCCATAGTGTTGCCTATCCAACACGATGAACCTCCTGTGCCGTAGCCTATCGAAACACTGGTGCACTCACAAAAATCAAGAACAACACACGGGATAACAATTACTAATGGAGAGCAATAGCTTATGAGGCAGTATATGATATGCCACTTACGAATGTCCGAAGAGTCTAACTGGGCAATACTGAAGGGATACGTAAATGTCCAACACATATGAAAAGCACATGCGGTCATCCAAGCAAATGAACAAAGCCACCAGTAATGCATCACAACAGCAAACGCTTTACAAACAGCATTGTTTTGAGAGGGTACATAATTAAATAGAAACAATAACTGTGCAAGCATCAGAGTAACGCAGAGGTTGAATAAATTTTTTCCGGGAAGGCCCTTTCTCAAGTCTGTAAACAACAGGTAGGTGATAATTGTAAAAACCAAGCAAAGGACAGATATCGAGAGAAGACTATAGGAAACAATCACCTGCACAAGATCATATGAAGATTCCGGCGTTCTATTTCCCTTATCTCCTAAGTAGTCGTCTACACAAATAAGAACCCCTTCCCCGTCTTTAATAAAGTCAGATTGATTCAATTTCAACCCATTTACTGACAACGTAATCATGTTATCGTCTCCAGTGAACTCAGACCTGTTAAGACGCACTCTACTACAGTTCAGGGTGTCTTCTGAAATCTTGGTGACATTTGGTGAATGGCGATTGTCCTTATTTTGCACAAATCGTGGTGCGTCAAAATTGGGGATTGCGTGGATTGGTATTCCATTTACATCGAAACCTGTAAAGCTTGAGCCTGGTTTGCTTTGCCCTAATGCAATAGTATACGTTCCTGATTTTGGAAAGGAAAGATTATAGCTCTCGAATGAAATACAGAGCATGCAAGGAAATAGAAAACATGGCTGGGCAGACTTCGTTGAAGTAAAAGAAAAAAATTGCAAATAAAATGGTACTTCTGTTGCCAACGAACTAAGCTTTACATTGGTTAAATTCAGATGCAAAATCGCGACTGTTGTTTCCAAAGAAGAGCTGGACTTGATGACAGTTTGTCCTTGATAACCAATCACAAAGGAAACGTTTGTGAAATGTGCCACTGAATAGTCTGATTCCGTGCCATATCCAAATCTTCTCTGAAAGGAAATTTCAGGGTTTTTGGAAAACATGAGACGCATACCAAGGGCTTCGAAATGAAGCATAACATGTCTCATGAAATATCTTTCTGTGCCAATCAGGATATCAAATGGATGAAAAGACATTGAAGAATTTATCTCTATCTCCCACGTTCCTGTCAGCCAAATCCTGTTTTCTGGTAGGCCATGTCGAGTGACGACACTGATGTTCAAATCACTGAATTCCCACGGTATCCTCAGATGTTGACTGAATCTTGACTCTATCTGCCTTGCAACAGACGATGATACATTCTTCCAGATTGCTGATCCCGTGATATAAACCGCGCTCGATTCATTTGATGTAGGCCTATGCGTTGTGGTCAGAAAAGGATAACTACACGGTGTGATGTCGTTGGATTGAACTCCCATTATGCCTGTGTGAATAACATGTGGCCCAAATCTACAACTAAAGGCATCATCCTCAAAAACGCTGTCTTTGTGCTCTGTATATATGCACTGCACCTCTTCAGGAGCTATTTCACCTGCTGCTGTGGATATGTTGTGAATTAGATCCTTGCACGAGACTGGATGAGTTGCGTCAACGGAAAAAGCATAAAGTTTCACGGGCACCTTAAAGCTGCAATTCAGATTGATTTCAGGAAACAGGTCAATGCAGTCTGTACCACTGGGTGTCATGCCGGCTGGACAAATTATTTTTTTGCACTCTTCCTGTAAATATTAATTATACTATGCACAAATTTCCTCCAGAAGTTAGAGCAGGCCCCCGTTTCACAAAAAAACTTAAGTCGGTTTACCTGACTAAGAGCTTGGTTACCAACGTAATTAAGTCGTTACGTCACTAAGTCTCGTTTCACAAAGAATCTAAAAGGTCGCTTACGTCGTTTTTTTCTTAGCTAGGCCTACTATAGTCGACGATGTCTAGCCTCCTCGGGAGTAGACTTAAGTCGGCAAGCTCAACTAAAACTCGGTAAATGAGAGCATAAACAACAAAAATGTGGAAAGAACATGCCTCCTTCAAGATATTGTGTTATAATATCCTTGAATAGCACTGACATTTATGGAATAATGAAATAAAAAATAAAGTGGCACTTCACCCAACCGATCGCGTGTTTGTTTATGTTTTTGACCGCTAGACGCCGTCAGCAGTGTTCCACGACAATCTAATGTTTAACTGTTACTTTGAAGTTGTATTGAATTAAAACTTATCAATAAAGTTCAAAAACAAACTTTGTCTGTGTTTTGGCTGATTTTTATTGTTGATAAACGATCGTTCTCGGCCGAAAGACGTCATGTCTTGTGAAACTTTAGAAATTTTACACCTCCTTTTCTTGAAGAGTTTCTCGTGCACGTCGACTACGGTAAGCACGCCAAGCTAAGACGTTAGATTTTCTGTGAAACACTCCTAGGCGACTTCAGCGTAGTCGACCTAGCTAGGTCACCCAGCCCGAGCTAGTCGACTACGGATTTAAGATTCTTTGTGAAACGGGGGCCAGGGATGGAAATGAAGCAAAGAGAAGTTTAAAAACTGTATGTGGTCTAAATTGTTATAATACCAACAAAGGATGCGCAGTTTAAATTTTTTGGCTTTCTGTCATAATGATTTTAAACTGACTTTTCATTTTTTGTCCTATACTTTGTATATCAGCAACACATTTTACTCCCTCTCATAGATTTCACGCTAAGGTCGTATATATTGTTTGACAGAGTTATATACAGTCTTGACATTTAGTATGGAATATTTCAGTTTCAAAGGTATGCCTAGGTAAAAATGAGTCAAGTCTGTATATTTGAAAACACACTGCAATTGCTGTAAACAACTTATCTTACAGCTGTCATGTACGTAATCACCGCTTGGTTTCTCTGGCTATGTAAGTTCATGCACTGTAGTAAGGCAGTGAAGGAAGTCAACTGTATTTAATTGGTAATAACACCCTTTTGAGTGTCATATATTGTGTCATAAAATACCAATGGAACTCACTATATATATATATAAGCATCACCTTAGAGAAAACGAAGTCCAGTAAAAATATAGGCCTACATGTGGAATTGCACCATACTTAAACACATCAAAAATTGCAAGGGACGGGAAAAAGAGAGAATACTTCAATACCGTCTTAATCCCCTATGTACATTCAGGTTTTGGACATTTGTTTTTGCGCCAAAACTTCATTTTGAAAAACACTGTTTCATTTTATTGAGTAGCATAGGTACTTTAAATTAGTCTTAAAGATACAAAATTTCAATACATATTGTAATTCTGATTTCATCTTTGTCAAAGAATGTTTAGACCTTTTTATCATTACTGATTTCTCATATGTGTAGACTATTTAAAGCAACCCGTCCATTGCAACAACATACAGAAGAAGTACAATGACTTACGTTTCTTTGTCTTTTGACGTATCCTAACTGGCATCCTTCTTTTATAATTTTATATCTCTTACCGTTTTCGTCGAAAAAATCCACCATCATTGAAAACGATGGAATGTATGCTTTTGCCGCCGCCATGTTTACGACGAATTTATTCATTATAGTAACTTTGTTTGGTTTTGTTTGTGGACATATTAAGCTATCATTTCGAAGGATAATGCCATTGCACAGCGCACAATCAGCGTTAGCGAATAAGCCAAATGATGGTGGGGTGGAAGTCGTGGAAGTCGTGGCAGAAAACAGATTATGTGGTAACACCCCGACTACCCACTGATGATATGCACCGCATCTGGCTATCTGTTCGTTGTCATAGTTTTTCCAAAGACCTGTCACATTGCAAGTTTGGATGATGTTTCCATATTCAAAAGGTTGAAATTGTGCCATCCACTCTTGGTACCATAAAGCTACCGGTACAATAATGTTGTCGGAATTTTTGTTGGCATTTGTCCTACACATGTGCACACCTTCCATATGAGAGCGTAGCTGAAACAGAATTGAACAACTCGGCAAAGATACATTTTGTCTCAACAAAAAAAGTTTGTCTGTGGAATTTCTGGGCAATAAATTGATTACGTCTGACGATTGGCAGTTAAAATATGGTAGCCAAGGCTCCACCTCTATATCATTATGACAAAGAGCACAGAAAATATTTCTATACATCACACGACTTGTCTTGGACCAGACTGGTAGGTCCCTTTTGGGGTCTATATTGGCTGTTCTGCCCGCGTTGAAACATTCCTTGGAGGTAATATTGTCGGCATTTGGCGGACAAGACGTTACCATTTTCACCGCGATCGACATACCTGGCAGAGTAACACACGACGTTTGGTTCAACTTATTCTTGTTATTTTTCAACCTCCTTATTTCAGCTTCCGATCCATTAAAAGCGACATCATGACAACAATCTCCATAAGCCATGCAGGTTTCCGGGTCACAACTACAGTAGCTCGTATATTCGTAATGTGCGCAAGAAAAAGTGCTGTTTATCAGTGGACATAACCTGTTAATTTCTTCCTCGTTTCGGTGAAAAATTCGCAAGTGTGGCAAATCATTTTCGTCTTCACTTGATGATGATAGGTTACTTTTCACAGCACTGCTAACGTTTACTAACGCGCAAACATTCAAGTACCAAACTAAAGCCCTGTTTGAGAGAAACATGTTGCTCTGTGTGCGGACAAATTCCGTTTTTTCCGAGTTAGCAAGGCAGAGGCGTTAGTATAGGCACTATAGCTCATATGCCAGAATAGTAGAATAACCAATCTTACCTTGAAACAAATATAGTGAACATAATTGAAATCATTCTATTTTGAAAGTGCTCAGGCAGATCATATATAATGCATGTTACAAGAGTGTCTCTATTCCCTTTGGGCAGAATATATGCAAGAAATAAAAAATAATAAGTCCACAACCCTCTCACTTGTTTATTATATACATCTGATTACACAGGAAATTGAATGGTCTCCATATGTTATTTTCGTTGCTTTATACATATTATTGAAAATATGATAGCATAGGCCTACCTGGTTCTTTATTCAACTTTTAATGTTACACGTTATCATTGTCTATGCTACTTCTGATTCTACCGCATGGCTACATACGAGTAGAAAGAAAAAGAAATAATTTAATATGGTTGATGATTGTCTATCAATAGATGTATACAGGGTCAGAGAAGTTTTGGACTCTTTTTTCTCGTGTTGCTGATTGTATATATAGAGGTACTCTGCTTTGAAGGGTTCATACTTCATACTTCATGTGTTTAGTAATTTTCATGATAATAACTTAGTTATAGAGTTACGTCGGAAACCGTTCATTATCTCAGACAAATTACAATGCAGCAAAACTGACGATTGGCCACCCTTGGTGCAGAAACGTGTAAGGTGGTGAAAAAAGGTAGTTGATGCTCCACAAGTCTTTATTTTTATTGCACTGATTTTGAGATGAAAAGTTCACATGAAAGTAACTGAGAAAAAGCTATTTTTCCAAACATACACCTTTATAACGATTCTAGAACAACCCCCTATACAACCCCCCCCCCCCCCCCGGACAATTCCCCCCAAGACACCCAACTTCCCAGGAAAGAAAATACTCTATTTGAGGCATTTATATAATTCTTAAATATTTTACTAAATAAAGGAAGAAGACAGAAAATGAAGATATGAAGTATTGGGTATAAATTACAAGGCTCAGAAAGTCCACTTACGTGCATAAGTAGACCATAGAAAGTAATATTTACTTGTTGGATGCTATAGAGGCAGATTTTGTAAAATTTTTAATCAAAACCAAACAAACAAACAAAAAAAAACTACCATTGTATCAGTTTTTTCAGTTCTTTCTAAAAGTAAACAAAATTTATGTCATTTGATGTTTGAGTTTTCTGAATAAGAGGTTGAGTAAATCATAGAAAAAGGACAAAGTCCGATGGCAAGCACATTTTAAAGTAATTGCGATTAGTCATTTTGGTGGTAAAATATAATTTATTATATATCTTTGTGTTGTTTACAATGTATTTATTGTGAAAAATATGAATCTCATATGGAGAGTTGTTATCCCTTCACGTTATAATCAGACTATTTAAGTGCCCAATATATAACAAGGCAGCAAAGCTGTCAAATGTACAGACAAAAAACAGAAAATAAAGATGCAAAAAATGGTCA